GCGTCCATGAGTTCGCCTTAATTCACGAGGGAGGACAAAATTGTCGCGGCACAATTAATGATGAGGAGCGACGGCGATGCAAAAAGCGGTGTTTGTCCGAGATCGAGATACTCGTCCCGCGACGCTTAAAGCAGCAATTAAAAGCTCGTTACTCACGTCCGTCTATTAATTATTCAAGAAACCGGCCGGGCGTGTCGCGCGGAAGCGGAAGCTCCGCATCGAACGTCAAACTCGACATCGATGAAACGGCATCGATGAAAATGGTGGCAAAATCGTTCACTTCAACGCAATCCGAAGAGTTATCAAGGTTTGATCGCGATATTTTTCATTCTTAAGCGCTTCATTAGCATATTGGCTACATTCAGCAGAAAAAGTACCTTTGCAACTGTCCTAAAATTCTTTAACATTCGTCGTTTTTTGCCTTTAGTTTCTTACTGGACCTAAATGTATAAACCAATCGTGTTGAAAAAAATTTTGCAACAGTAACAGAACTTTTCTGCTGAATTCAATCATCGATATATGCCATATATAATATATGGAATACTTCAACTTGATTGCTTATAACTTCATAAACATAAACAGTATTGTAAAATATTCTTTTAATTGAAATACCAGATTAAGTTGCAAATGTATGTATTTTTATTAATTGAGAGTCTAATGAATCCTGACTTTTTTTTCAACTATGTTATGAAAAACTGTTTATAACTGTTTATATAATGTTTGTCATAATCTTATATAACTTTAAGTTATATAATCTTATTCTTCGGATTTTGACCTCCAACTTTAAGCAAAACATTAATTAAAAGTACATTGATTGCAAATGCTGATTAAGCAAATTTTGGAATAAATATCCATTAAAGTTGAAAAAGCCTAACATGCCATAATAAGCGAAGAGGAATTTAAGGCTTATATTCAAGTTTTGTCGCAAATTCTAAAGATATCGAGATGCGATTAAAGAACCTACATTAAATTGCAAGATTTGAGACCTTTCGAACAAGTATCTTCATTCAGGGCGTTGAAAACAATTAATATTTGGAAACCACTGGAAGAATGGATTCCTACGAAGCATGTTGTAATTTCGTCCTTCAAGAAACCCGTGACTGACGCACGTGGGGGTCGGCAGCGGGCGGTCTGATGACTGCCTGTCCTTTCATTACGACCAGTAGGTTATTCATCTTTCGATTTGTAAAGGCAGAATGAAGCATTGAAATTGGCATTTCCAACTTATACACATTTCTGTCCTAGATTATTTATAAAGCAGTATAGATTAAATTCTAACGGATGCAAGTTACTTTTGTTTGCTCCTCGCTTAACAGGTTTCCTTAACTTGAAGACTCTTGAATGTTCTTCGAAAACCTACCCGTACTCTAAGGCGACCGTTCGCTAAAAGACTTAACACGTGACCGACAATCATCTTAACAGCGAGCGTCGAACCTCCCGCGCCGTGCTTTTTCCCGTCGTTCATCGGACAAAGAGACTCACTGATCTACGAGAATAGCCTACAGGAAAGGTCAATAGTAGGGTTCAGCCGACATAGTCTAGACGTTTAAGTATACAAGAAATTACGCTACTTTACTTGTATTTTCATGGCGATAAAGATAAGAGGTGAACCACGTTATGAAGAAAAATTTACTTCTTTGTTATACAAAGATCGATCCCACCCGTTGTTTCATTATTACTGTAAAATTCTTTGACAAACACTTACGATAGTGCTGGATAAGAATCAAAGTATGTGCGTTTTGGAGGAAAATATTATACAAGCATGCACGTTTTTTTCGTCTCAAAGTAAAAAGCACGAAGCGGAGGTGTATCTTATTTTTCGTAAAGTTGCATCCTTCATATGTCGCATCTGTCGCTCACATTTTTAAGGCGTTCGTCCGTGAACGTTATCGCTATCAAGATAAGCATCAATCACCCAGCCACGCATCGTGCATGAAATTATAATACACAATCCGTATCTTTTACGATTCAAATTTTTTCACAACGCCTTTCAAGAATTCTTCATTTATGCAGAGGTGAACATTTCCATTTCACGGGTGAATAACTTTTACCTGCATTTTTCGATAAGTATAAGAACGGAACGATTGGCTTTTATTCAGACGGATATATATCAAAATCGTCATTGTTAAGCTTGAAAAAAAAAAAAAAAAGTTTTTGTGGTACGCTTTAATTACAAGCTGGGAATTAACTTGGAACCCCACATCTCGCATCTGTCGCTAAAGGCACGATATGAATATGGGCTTTTGAATCTGCGGAGGTCAGGTCTTGAGCTCCTGTTTCCTGCAGACCCCCCGTCCGCTCCCACCCAGTGACGTAACCACCGACCGTGCATCCTCACGTGCACATAGACGGCGTGCATACACACACACACGCACGCACACACACACGCACGCACACACACACACACACACACACACACAAAGATATACGATTCTCTCGAAGCGTGAGCAATGCAAGCTCGTTAGGAGTAAAAACCTACCAGTTGTAGGAAATTAACGAACATAATACAGACCGACGTTGATGAATTTGCTAAATTCTGGCACTCGGCTGCCCACCCATTATAGTTCCGCCTCTTTCCGCAACCCTTTCCACGTCCCAGTCCCCCTTTTTTTTTTTTACATCTCTCGCGTCGCGGTCGCGTACAGGAAATGGAAACGGCGACCAAGCCGCGTCGCACCGCACCGCGTCATAGTCATCGTGGTCATTCTATATATCTCTCTCGCTGCCCGCCCCCTTTTTTCCCTCACTGTCCCTCGTATCGTTGCGAGTCCTCTCTATTTCTTTTCCTCTTTATCTCTCTCTCTCTCTCTCTCTCTTCTTCATCCTGCGTTCTCGGCGTGGCGCATCTCTAGAAACCCGAACGACGTCCGAGCCGGCTCAGGTTTCGTCTTTTTTGTCCCGGGTCCGCCCTTTTCAAAGCGCGCGCTCAAGGAGAAACGGACGTAGACGGGGGGGAGAGGGGAAGGGGAGGGAGACCGTATTTCGTTCGTTACACGGTAACGATCGATCAACGTGACCGCACGACCGCACCGCACCGAGCGAGCGAACCGCGGTGAGCGGCGAGAGAGCGCCGGCACCGACGTTCTGGGGGACGGCCCATCCTGGAGCCCATCCTGGAGCAGCAAAAGGACGCAGTCAAAGATCAGTTACCGAGGCCCTTCCTCCCTGACACTCCCCCTCTTTCAAACCGCTCGAATTTTCCAATTATTTTCACGAAATATACAAATCGTTATCTCTCTCGTCTTCCACGAAAATTACAAATACCGATCTCGTGAATGTGATATTGTATTTGATAAGATACCGTCGTGTACGAGAGAGAACGAAAGATTCGTATTAAACCCAAGCTTACTGAGCAAATGAAAGACAACTGGTGATTGGCGCCTTGAAAAGCTGCGAAAATCAGTTATATCGGTAACGTGTAATATTTCATTTCAAGCTCTCGCATTAACATCAACAATATTTTTCGAGATAGCATTTGAAATTACGATATTATGTACTGTCAGAAGACGTACAAATGTTACGATTTATTTTGCCGTATTTAAATATCGTGGAATACATTGAAAATTTAAATACATTTAATTTTTTATAAACAGAATTGCCATAAATTCCTCGGCCTAAAATTTCATTACTTTTCGCTGATTTTCAGAAATTTCACAATTTTCCTGGACTTTAATAATATTTTCAGTTTTTGATATTTTCATCCTAATTTGAAAACCGTCAAATATTTTGTTGAGATTAATTTAATATAGCAACGTAAATCAATATTGCTAACATTTGCTTGCATTTAATTGTTAAGTTCGTAGTATTCCAAAATTGCGTTTAGGAATATAAAACTTCTTTAAGAATTTGAATTTTCTCCAAAATTTAGCAAAATTCCTTGATTTTTTTCCTGTTTTCTGGTTTGCGGTAATCTTGGTGAAGCTAGTTGGTCATTAAAATATATACGTTAAGATATGTAACGGCGCGTTCATTTCGCAAATAACAATCTATAATAGTTCTCGGAAAAACGTCGTTCGCCGCAACTCCTCGGGCGAAAAGCGCATTTATTTAAT